TTGTTGATCTTGCGCTTGTTATTGTAATTGTTCTTGTTGTTGTTGTTGTTCTTGTTCTTGTTCGGGTTCTTGCTTTTCTTGTTGTTGTTGTTGGAGCGAGAACGATTCGTGGAGCAGTAGCGGGACGGATCGGAGCGGAGCAACGGAGCATGGGAGCGAGAACGGTTCGTGGAGGTTCGTCTTGTTGTTCTTGTGGTTGTTCTTGTTGTTTTTCTTGTTGTTGTTCTTGTTGGACGGATCGGAGCGGAGTAACGGAGGATCGGAGCGAGAACGATTCGTGGAGTCGTAGCGGGACGGATCGGAGCGGAGCAACGGAGCATCGGAGCGAGGACGAATATTACAGTCTGCAACCGCTCTGGGTAGTTGGAGCGCGCGCCGACTTTGCTTCTTGCTGCTTTTGGTGCTCGGCGGGCGCACAGTGCACGTTTTCAGGTTTGGGCCACTTCAACCCGTAACTGTAGCCAGGGAAATGCGCGCGCTCTGCTACAAACAAGTCTTTGCCTCATACAACCCCAATGCCATGAGCACCCAGAGCTTGCCCCCCATCAAAGAAAAACTGCAAGCCCATAGCAACCCTGCGAACACCTCCCAATGCGTTGAGAGCTCACCGCGCCGAAATGTATGTCAATGATAAGCACTGAAGCTAGGCGGCGAGCGGTCCACATTAATATCATGGCGATATTACGCTATATCCGCGCAAAAGGGGGCACAGTGAAAGCAGCAGCAGCAGCAGCATCAAAAACAACATCTTTGTCGAAAATGGTGTTGAATTTACTTTCTGGCGCGCTTTGGCGCTGGCACACCGACTCCCCAAAACTGATGAGGAAAACGAAGCGAGCGCTGAAACCGCACAGACTGAGGCACCAGCAGTTCGAAGCATTGCATCAATGCGGACTTGCGCAGCTGCTGCCTCCTGCGTTTGTGGCAGCTGACATTCGTCTTGTGTGGTCCACGGCTGAAGGCTTATTTCGTGCTTTCTGGCCGCTTAATGGATTGGATTTCTGAAATACAAACCCTCGCATGTTCAGGGCTGCCAACGTGCGCAGACGCATGATTCTGTCAGCCGCCGGATGCTTTGGTGGCCTGATTTTCGTTGCGGCTGACTGGGTTTTTGCCTGAGTGCACCCGGCTGGCATGTTCCACTAGATGCTATGATACGCTGGCAAGGAGCATATTCAGTTCACCCCTGGGTGGGTGTCTCAAAGTTGCGGTGTAGTCTGGCCACGACAGTCTTGGTCTCGCTGTCGTAGCGCTTTTCGATTGGAAAGCTGATCTCCTTGTCGAGGTGCTCGAGTAGGTGTTGTGGGTTGTCTTCCAAAGGCTCTTGAGGAAGATCAGGTCTAAGTTCTTGTACTTGTGATTGTTCTGGGCGTATGCTTCACCAAACCAAAAGATGCCAAGGTTGACGGGTTTGTGAAATCTGCCTTGGGAAACCTGAGGTCACCCATGGCAAGTCCTCCGCAACAACCTCTCTGGCGCCCTCGTTGTAGAGGAACGCTGAGCCTCATCGGTGTGAGGCACATGGACAGGGAAGCGATGAAGGTGGGTTGTAGTGCAACTTGTGCTCGCCCACCGAACGGGCCTCCTGGCCCCCCTCACGATCGGGTCAGTGTGTGGTAGAACTAGTGTCCTTGGTGTGAACTGCAATAGCTGTGAGGCCATTTGGTTTGGTCTGATGAAATCGGTGAGAGTCATGACGACGTACTGTCTGAAAAATAGACCCGCGACGATGGCCACCGAGCCTGGACAGCATTTCCTGGCAGAGCGGCGTCTCTCGGCCTTCAAGAAGAACTCACCGTTGGAGCCGTCCTTGAGGCAGCTTTTCTTGTAGTTGGTCAAGGATGAAAGGACAATTGCCCGCAAACTTGTGGTTGGCGGATCATCTGCCCCTGGGAGTTGAGCGCTCTGTAGGAACCAGCTTGGCAGGTCACCATGCGCGACGATGGCCGATGTAGAAGTCGAAATAGGGCGCTTTGTAGACCATGGGGCGAACTTCTTCTCTCCAACCTTCCATGTTATAAGGTCTGTTGACGTAGTTCGCGTTGTCTTGGAGGATGGTCCAAGGCATGCAAACGTATCTCGTTGAGCAGTAGCAATGGTCGGTGAGAGTCGATGATCTTGTCAACTTCTTTCTGGTGTTTGGTCTTCGCGAGGTCATAGCCGGCGCTGTAGTCAACAGGTAGGGTCTTGGGCCCCACTAGTCTCCAAGTCAACTTTGGAAAGCTTGCTTGCTACGAGGCTGACGCGATGTCGTCAACACCTGTTCACTCACTGTTCAAGATCATCATGAATCATGAAGGTGTAGCGCCTGGCGAAGTCGTTGTAGAAGACCTCGCTTGGCAGCAGTGGTCATCTTGTAGTCCTTGGTCTCCTTGAAGTGCAGGATAGTTCAACCAGTCCAAGCTTCAGAGGATTGCTTCCTGGACCCGGTTGTCCAGTTATAGTCCACCACCTCTGTCTTGCCATTAATCATACTCCATCTCAGCCAAACAAACGTGCCGAAGATGGTGGAGAGCGACAGGGCATTGAAAGTCATGAGGTTCAAACAGCTGACACCTTGGTTCCACACAGCGCCGGGCGCATGCTCCTGGGATGACTTCCCACGAGTCCTTCACCGGTAGGTGTTCCAGTCGAGG